GTTGCTGATGCCACTTTGTTGTGGATTTGATTCCCCCAGAGTTTTATAATTGGCAAGAGAAATGGGACTGTGTGTCTACACGTGGTTTGCAGCTCACTTAATATGAAGGGCTCTTGTGCAGACTTTGTCAGAGACTTTTCTAAACAATCCAAGGAAGCATCCAAGTGCACAGAAAACAGCCCCAGTTGGCATCATTTTAAAATCTCCACCTTCCCATTTCTATACTTTCCTTTCCCCCTCCTTTCTTTCCACTCTTTTTATAATTTTTAGAGGGGCACAAAAATATTTTCAGATATCTGTGTGACTCTAAGAAAAAGGTTGTGCAAGGTAAGGGTCCTGGGGCTGTGGTAAGTGGTCAACTTACACCATATGCAAGCTTTTAAGCAAAATGAGGGCAAACGGACTCATGCAGAAAGGCAGAATTTCTAAGAGAGAAGGCTCAAGGGCATGAAAGCAGAGGATTCCCATCACGCATACACACTATGCAGCCCTCTGGTGCCCAAACTTATGCTAAGACCCCAGGAATTGAACAATAGGGAACTTCCAGACTTTTTCCCCATTCCTACCCCCTCTTCTCTCCTTCCCATGGGTGGTCTGTTTTCCTTCCAGACTTCTCTGAAGTCCACTCTTCTAACTCTTCCATGGACCTTTTCTTTGATAAAGCTATTTCTTTGACTGTCTTGCTCTATTTCCAGGAAAAACCCACATCCACTCCTTAAGAGTGTGTTTGCTGCCGGGCAGTGGTGACGCATGCCTTTAATCCCAGCACTCGGGAGGCAGAGGCAGGCAGATCTCTGGGAGTTCGAGGCCAGCCTGGTCTACAAGAGCTAGTTCCAGGACAGGCACCAAAGCTACAGAGAAACCCTGTCTCCAAAAACAAAAAAAAAAATAAATAAATAAAACAAAAACAAACAAACAAACAAAAAGAGTGTGTTTGCTAGTTAGAACTACAAAGGTTTGCCTGGCATTCTTAGGCTGGGCAAATTGTTCCTCTCTCTTGTCTCCTTTCTATTACAGTTCATCGAGTATCACAGTTTTCTACAAATAGCCCCAGGCCACTACACATATTTTCATGATTCATGCTAATTGGGAGTTAGTCTCGGTGTTTTCATTGCACGATCTTCGATCTTCACGTAGGGAAGAGACTGATGAACGTCTATCTATCCCTGAGGGTCAGATTTAAGCCCAGGTTAAAGCACTTTGTCTTTGCCCCCAGGAAGCTCTTCTTGGAAGGGCTACTTTCATGGGTGTGTGCCTAACACTGGATTAGCATAGCTCAAAGTGCTTGCTGGATACAATGAACAAGTCCTAGCTCCGGTGAGGCATTAAAAAAAAAAAAAAAAACGAGACCTCGGGGTTATATTTTAGTAATCTTTACTTCATTTGGGAAATTATCTTTGTACACAGTCAGTAAAAATCAACATATGCAGTGAGAGGAAGTATAAGACAGATGGCACTATACGAGACAATACTGCATCACGGCAATAACATCTGTGAAAACGTTTGCAAGAGAATGAAGCTCCATCATTGCTTCTCTTGAGCGCATCAGCCGAAGCAGATGTGCGCGGAGTTACCCACCACCTGCTTAATTTTTCTGGGATCTTCTCCTTTGGTCTTGTATGACTGTTGTGGACTATCTTAGTAGGCTGATGAAGGTGGAAAAAATATATCGTAAGCCAAACCACATGAAATTTCTTCTGGTGGTATATATAGACATTGAACACATTCCTTTTGGGGACAAAGTTATAAGAATCATGAGGCCTATGTTTCCTCATTATAAAACAGTATTTGATGGAATGGTGAGCCTATGCTGGTTTAGCATATTTCCTAGAACTGATAGTTCATACTAGAGATTGCTCCTTGTATTTTTTAGATCTTGATAAATGTATAATGATATATACAATATAGTTTCATTTTTCTAAACACCCTGTGTATTTTATTAATTCCTTCATTCCTTTTCTTTAGTCCTTGCCAGTCATCAATCTTTCCATTAGCTCTGTGGGTTGCCTTTTCTAGAATTTCATATAGTTGAAATCATGTAGTGTGTTGCCCTAAATTTTTTTTCTAGTAACACTCATTAACGATTTTTCTATGTCTTTCTTTATTCAGATAGATCATTTTCTTAAGGACTGGATAGTACTCTGAAAGGCTAGCTAAATCAGTTTACACTCCTAATGATGCATTTTTTAAAATTACACAATCAGTCCTGATAAGCCACTATGCTAGGTCAGTAACAGATAAGACCCTACCTTTTGACTACATGGGAAAACCTAGATCCAGTCACTTCATTTATTTTTCACTGACTCTATTTCATGAATAAACTGAAGTGTACAGGCTAGGTGTCACCAGTAACCAGGCAACCCAGTGAAACCTTCCATGGTCTATATGAGAATGTCAGGTTAAAAGGAGTCTGTACTGTCACTAGGGATTAGTCGTGGGAACAAATAGCTTTCTTTGGAGCTAAGGCCAGGGAAGAAACATGAAAAGGAATATGGAAGATGGGCATTCTGTAGTTCAGCAAGCCTTCCTTTTAACCATCATCCATTTGGGTCCACCTCATGCCAGATCCCAGAAAGAGAAGCTAAAAATAAACATAAACGACAATTTCAGCCTGAAAGCATGCACCTGAAGTGGTGACTGTTGCGGAGGTATCAGGCTGGCGGGGCAGTGGAGCCAGATCAAACAGGTTCTTCTCTCTCCCAGACCCTTGCTGTTGCTGCCTCCTGCTTGTGTGAACCCTCCCACCCCACTCCGTGTGTTGGCTTTCTTCATTTCAATATGTCTTATTATTTCCCAGTGATGGTTTTGAAACTTAAGTCCAGTCGCCAGAGTCTCCCTCCTCACCTGCTCTCTGCATCAAAGCTGAGGCGGGTAGGCCTTGTCCCTTCGGGCACAGCTTTGGCTCACAAAAGGGAAAAGCTCTTCCCATCTCTGAACCTTTGGAAAAGTCCGCCTCCTCTCTCCTCCTCCCCTCTCCCCACCTGTCTGGCCAGTTCACCTTCTGCTGTTGCTAAACCAGCACCCTCCCCCAAGCAACCACGCCTCTCACCCTCTCCTTTAGGGCACCCCTGCCTCTGGGTATGTCCTCTATCTAGTTTAGAGGCCATGTTTATTTCTGTCTCTCCCTTCCTGTTTGTCAGCCACTCTGCAGCCTGGTTCATAGTGGGTGACAGCCATGCTTAACGACCGCATCAGCTTAGGTAAGTAAATGGGTCTGAGCTGTAGAATGAATCAATTGATCTTGATTAAAAATTAACAAACACAGTGGCTTCCCAAAAGAAATCTCTTTTTGAAGTATCCCTAAATACCAAGAACTTGGCATTCAGGTCATGATAAGTCCCAGGGTTTGTGTGGGGTTGGTCCCTGCTGTTGCTGGGATGCTCACAAAATGCTGGAACCTCATAGAGTAGAGCTCTTTGATTATATTAATAATGATATGTACTTCCTGCTGGCTGCAGATAACTTTTTCACAGTGAGTATTAACAGCCTCCTTCTTTACTTTTCATTTTATTTTAGTTTCAATTTTTTACTTTCTTAAAATATAATTTCTTTTTTTCTATAATTTTTTATTGAGTCTTTGTGAATTTCAGATCATGAGCCCCAGGCTCACTCATTTCCCAGTCTTTCCATATCTGCCCTCCACTCTTGTAATCTCCCCCTCCCCAAAAAATAGAAAATAAAATTAATAATAATAAAAAGTCTCACTGTGGAAGCTGTGGTGTGTCATGGTGTGTCCTCCAGCATACCCATTTGTCCAACCAACACTTACAAATGTTCATTGCAGTGAGTCCTAGGACTGGTTTGAGGTCTCTGGCTTCTGCTACACCATAGATACTGGATGCTCATTGAGACTCCTCTAGGCTAGCCGGATGATCGTACAGCTTTGGTCCTACAGGACCAGCTCATGCATGCACTCCTACAGCCTCCTTCCTAAATGGTCATGACAGGGTCTTCAGCTAACATTCTCAGAATGGTACTTGTATCAGTCACTGCGATGCTGAATTTAATGGTTCCTGTTCTCTTCTCCCTTTCTTCTTACCTGATATAGAGATGGAATATGGATATGCGATGGGCAAGAATAATAAGACACTTCTGAACCACACCTTTTACCTAAAGATATCAACTTTCCTGATTCAAGCTTCCTCCTCATGCCCTGGGTTGGGTTGTGTCCCCTAAGCTATGTTCTTGCAATATGGCACCCTTCTCGTTTCTAGATGTGTCCCTACCGTACAAGACTGATTTATTGGCACAAATTAGTGCTTACTACTTTCTTCCTCTGGTGAGGAATAAACAGTGTAAGGATCGGGCCACACTCGCAGTAACTCGTGTAGCGTCCAGTTCATCAGCAGACCTGACTGAGTGAAGCCGTGCATGAAAGATGTGAAGACAGAAGTGGGAACTGGCAAGTGTGGAAAGGGTTGTGTGTGTGAACATACATATTCCTGCCCCATTTTGCTTATTAAATGCAAGTCTTCATCTTTGCCTGGCCAATCTATAGGACTATACTGCAAACACTTGCTAGTATTCTTGACAAACATTTCTCAAAATACCTTCATTGAACTGTTCCTAAGATTTCCTTTGGATTGGTTGTCTTATGAAGACAATAGATTTAAAAAGTAGATTTGTTAGCGAGTTAGGGCCCTTTTGCTCCACCCATAGAAAAGAGTAAACAAGGAGAAAGGTTTGTCTGTGGCAGATTTTCAGCCACTGCTTCTAGGTTCTTGCTCTGTTTTATTTCCTGTCTTGACTTCCTTGGGTGTAAGTGTAAGCCAAATAAACCTTCTCCTCCCTAAATGTGCTTATGGTGTTTCATCACAGCAATAATTACTCCAAGTTGGTTACCAGGAGAGTGAGGTTCTGCTGTGACAGACCTGATGATGTTGTTTGGGGGAGGATTGTAGAAGGACTTTGGAATTCTGGGCTAGAAAAGCCATTAAGCATTGAGAGTTCAGTGATCTGTTCTGTCTGAGCTTGGAAGGTAAGAATGTTGAGATCAGTGTGGACGATGGAGGCCTGGCTTGTAAGTTTCTGTGGGAAACAAAGACTGCAGGGCCCTTTGTGTGAAGAACCTGTGGTGTCAGTTCAGCTGCAGTTGAAGAATTAGCTATGATTAATAAGAGAACAGAAGCACCGAAGTAAAACCTTTGCTTTGCTGGGACAATGCATGCTGGTCAGCTGGGTCAGAAGAATCATCTGGGATTAAGAAGAAACCAGCATCATTGAGGTGTAGTCTTCTGGGAGGGGTTTCCTGAGGGTCAAAACACAGAAGCTATGTTCCAGAAGCCAAGGTTGTACCTCGTGGTGGCAGCCGGACTTGGTGGTACTTGTTAAGCGTCACCCAGGTGGTTCTTGTGTTGAAGGCCTGAAGGGGTCATGGAGAGCAGCTGAGGCTTGGCACTGCAGTGCAGGGCTGGAGTCCCTAAAGAGAGCCTAGGAGAGGCTATCTGTAAAAGTGCGACTCAGTTGCAACAAGGGACCCTAGCAGTTTGGGAGATGCCAGTACCATGGGATGACCAGCAAGAACATCAGCAGCCATGGAGTGGAGCCCGCTAAAGCCTAGAAGACAAGCTACATGCACTACAAAGGGCAGAGTTGGAGAAGTGACCCAAAGCTTGAAAGGGCCCAGAAGAGCGTGAGTGAATCCTAGGTAATTAAATATTACACTTTTGGAGTTCAGTTTTGCTTCGTTAAGGTTGTGACTGTGCCCTGGTTCTTCCCTCTTAAAGTAAGAAAGCACTTATTTTTGATTTTACACAAATCAAAGGAGCCCATGGTTTAGAGCTTTTGAATTGCTTTTAAAGCTCTTTCCTACCCACATTGCTTTGGTCACAGCAATAGTGACCCTAAGATACTGTCACGGTGCAGGTGCTGGATCCCAGGTTCCATAGTCCTAGAAATGTTAGCTTGCTTACGCAGTCCTATAAGGCCAGGGTTTTTCATGGCATGGAAACCGCTGATGTGGCAACTTCTAGTTAGCAGTAGATACATAGATTGCTCAACCCATTGACAGTTGCCGGTGTTACAGCTTTGAGCCCTTGGCCCTAAATCATAGCTCTTTGGAACCCTTCCGGTGACCAGGGCACACTGTTTCTCTTCTCTGACTCCTGAGCATCCTTCAACCTTCATTGCTTAATCTCAGTCCCCTGTCCTCGCTTTCCATTTTCTGCTTCAATGCCATTTTTCCTGCCCTGGCATCTCTGAAGTCAAGGCAGGAAGTTTCTTCGTCAGTTGTCAAACAGCCACCTACCTTTCTCCCTTCACAAACCAGCTCTGCTTCAGTTGGTCCTGACATTGCAACTCCAGGGAAGACAGCAGTAGAGAGTGTCTCCCTAAGTGACCTGAGCCGCTCCTTGTATAGCACACGAAAAGATCACAGCCATTGAGACTTGGGTATGGATCAAGCATAGCCTTATCTGCATAATCCCAGTTGAAGCAGTTTCTTTGCTAACCACCAAGAGAAGGGTTCTCTTACTCCCGTGGGTGGCAAAGGTTACAGGACCATCTTGAGTTCCCAAGGCTGGTCCCTAAAAGTCCTGGCTGAGGCTGTGTCTTCAGGACCTGGAGGAACCTACAGCCATCATTGCACTTGTTCCTCAAGGCATTCGCGGAGGGGTCCAGGTGGCTGGTGCTGGTGTTAGAGTAGTCCAGCTTTTTGAATGGCAATCTTTGTTTTCAAGGCAGCCAGGTTTGCAACCACTGCTAATTGGGAAGTCAAATTGCTTCATCCCTCACAGTCTTTACTTAGTTACAGGAAAGGGGACATCAGAAAGTGTGCCCACAACATAAAGGGCTTCATTAGTGCTGATGGTGATTTTGCAGTTGAACAGCATGTTAGCAGTGTTTAGCCATTTGTCCATTGCCCCAGGGAAAGACATGTTCCCCCTTCTGTCTCACAAATACACAGCATCATTTGGTACATGCTTTTTTAAAAGTTACACATTTTTTCCCTGAGAAAATGTAGACAAACTCTGAAGTGTGTGTTCTCTGCTCCTCAGCTGAGAGCCTCCATTCCACGTAATTGTTAAAGGCAGATTCCAAAGCCATCAGAGAAATGTGTCATTTCATGTGTCCTCTGATCACCAGTTTTATTCTTAGTGCTTACTTAAAGTATAAAATCTTTTCCTCGGGTTGTGCATCAGCTAGTGCTCTCCAGAGAAGCAGAGTGACTACATATACACGCAGCCACATGCAGATGCAAAGAGAACTAATTTATGCATCTGTTTACATGCTGATGGACCCTTGGTAAGTCTGAAATTTGTAGATGACCTGGCAATCAGGGATGAGTCAACACTGTAATCTAAGTTCAAAGGCTATCTTCAACAGATTTCTATCTTGCTCGTGGGAGGTCAGATTTTTGTTTATTTGACCTTTAGCTGATTAGATGGGAACCACTCACATGGAACAAAATCTGCTTCCCTCATAGTGCACAGATTTAAGTGTTAATCTCATCCAGAGCACTTTTGGCCACTGTTGAAATGAAGGCTAAGCCATGTAGGCAATAGACACTAAATATTAGAGGCACTCTCTAAGTAACTCAGGGTCTCAGTTCCAACAAAAACAAACAAAAAAGCAAATAAGAAAGCTGAATTTAGTAACTTTAAACTAAAAAAATATTCTATGCTCATGAGTAAGACTCCTGGGTCCAGATTCTGGGACAAATATATTTCTATACTTATACCCTCTGATACCTGTTATCTAACACATGACCTCAATGGGAACCACTAGTAGTTTATGGGTGGGACATGAAAATTTGGCTTTGAAGTAGCTAACACATCCCTTTTTTTCTTTTTAATGTCAGTTCATAAGACCTGCCTGTAATAAGTGAACAATAAATCCAATGTTAATTTTAGACACATTCTAACTTTGGGGTTATTATTATTTCCGGAACTGTATGTAGATATAATTACATGATTTAATGACTTCCTGGGCTTTGATATCATGCTCTTCTGTCCCAGGGTCTTACAAAAATATAGTTTTGCTGGGTTAATGTAAGTAATAAGAGTTAATAAGAAGCCTGAGCTAATAGGTCAACCAGTTTATAGTAATGTAGACCACTGTGTGTTTCTTTGGGACTGAATGGCTGCGGGACTGGGCAGGACAGAAGCTATTGACAACAGGAGACCTATAGCATATATCATAATTTTGGAGCTTTTAATTGATTCAAATTGTTTAAAATGTTCAAAGAATCAGTAAACCTGGGCCATGGAGGTGGTTAGCAGGTCTAGGCACTTGCTCCCAAGGCTGTCAGTGTAAGTTCACTTGGTGGAGGGAGAGAGCCAACTCAGGACTTCTGTTCACTCCACCCCCACATACACAACACCCAGAATAAATAAACACATGCAAAAATAATAAATCACACCAATGGGTCAAGTCCCAGTTTACCGATGCGCATCTGTGGTCTCTTCGTTTTCTCTTGCAAAATTGAGTAAACATCTTTCTCTCTCTCTCTCTCTCTCTCTCTCTCTCTCTCTCTCTCTCTCTCACACACACACACACACACACACACCACATTAAAGGAATGTTCATCCAGGATGCTTTATGTCATCTCCCATTTTCCACAGGGGTTGTACTGCGGTGACTAAGGCCCATTTTTAGAGACCTGGCTAGCAGGATCCATCTTGAAATCCTAATATAGTCCTCCTGATATTTTGTATTAAACAATTTCCTTTTACTGGTTGTTCTACGTCTATCAGTATCTTTGACTTGTACCTGCCGGATGCCAGTTGGTACAATCCATCCTCCCCACAGATGAGACAAAGTTTCTTAGGAAGACAATACTGAACCTTCCACTCCACTAAGAACAGTTAGATTAATGGAAAGTTGATTTATGGATACTTTTAGCTTGCATTGCAATATAACTATGAGGGTATGGTTTTCATAATTACCTGAACTTCCCATAGTACTGGTTTAGATGGTCACATGATTAGGACACACCTGCCAGAATGGAAGTACATGGAGTGGAGCTGGGAGAAACTTGTTCAGGCTCTTCTTCACTCTTCTACAGCTTTACCTCTTGTGAGCTGTACATAAAGAAACTGCTGTAAACTATCTTGGTTTTTACTTAAAATCTTAAACACTTTTCATTACCAAAGTTGTATTCTTATGCTTGAAGGAAGTTATCTAACTCACTAATAATAATAATAATAACAATAATAATAATAAATTCTTTGCAGCTAAGCAAGAGGAAAGATTGGCTTACATTTCTTTCACATTATTGAGAATATTAAAAAGCTGTTGTCTTATACAAAGGGAATCTGAGAGTCCATGTCCAAACAGTACTGAAAATGGATCAAAAGGGAGTACAGGTAATAATAATGTTATAGCATTTGTCCATTATTCTAAATTGGTTTTCCTGTGTTATTTAAAAACAAAATGCATTTATGTATAAAAAGTGATACAATTTAGAATTAAAACATAGAGTGAAAAACATAAGTCTCTTAGTGTTTTCAAATTCTTGGCATGTTGGAGATTTAGGAAAGAGAAATTAGAAATTCCCAGTATTTAAAAATTTATGATGTTTTCAATATACGTCTAGGAATCTTCACAATCTAATTTTGAATAGATCAAAATAGTGTATCATTTAGTAAGAATGACAAGAAAGGCAATTACAAAAGTCAAAATGCTCATCAATGCGCTCACACACATAGTCTTCTGTGGAAGTCCTTGGGATGCCTTCCAGGGTAATGTGTCTTCAATGTAAAAGATGTCCTTAAATGAGCAGGATCCACATTCATTCCATGAGGGGCTCTGACCTTACCAAGAGACCCAAGATTTAAATTGTGTTTCCATTAAAAGTTCCTGTACAATGGAGTTCTTCGTAAGCCCCAGTAAATTATCATTTTCTTATGGTTTATCATGCCATTCCAAAAATTAGAGCTGGGAATAGTGTCGCGTGCCTTTAATCCCAAATGTTGGAAGGTAGAGACAGGTATATTTCTGTGAACTCAAGGCCAGCCTGATATATACAGCGAGTTCCAGGACAGCCAGAGCTAATTAGTGAGACCCTGTATCAAAACAACAACAATACCTGTTTAAAACTTAGCCTTGTATCATAACTACATATTTATATGCATAATTGCAAATACGTGTACATGCACACAGGTGTGTGTATATGTGTGTGCATGTGTGTGATATTTATCTTTTTTTGTAAGGAAGCATATCTTTTCCAAGTTATATAAACTCCAGTCTCCTTAATGATTTGCATCTGAATTTGAGATATCAAAGTGAGATTTTTCTCAGAGAAATTGCTCGAGTATTTATAGAACTCATTTCTGAAGAGAGCTGCTATAAACACCAGTCGGGCCCACCCCATCCCTTCATCACTAAGGTGAAAGAGGCTGCTTTTACTTTACAGCAAAGAAGAAAGGATGCAGCCATAGGATCCCTCCAGAAGCCTGGTCTTGACCCTGTGCTTGAGGAACAGCTTGCAGTATCTGATTCTTAGATAGAAACCTAAATGAGAGAGGTAGGCTAGCTCGCTCTTCTAGTCGTTGCAGCAAAAGAAGAGGTGAGTCCACCAGGCTTTTTGTCACTAGAGTGCTTATTCAGGCAGAAATGTAGAGTGATTGTGATGAGCCAGATGTGAGTTGCTCACAAGAGAGAAATTTCATTGACACTTTTTAATCCTGCCCAGGAGAGCTACTTGGG